TCCAACATTTGAGGGGTTTATCAAGGATGGACAAATATGTTCTGGTGAGGCTGAGGAGTGGGGCTGGTATTGAGGATCATGGTGACTGCATCAGGAGTAATGATAGGATGCATTTAGTCCAGTGTGAGCATTACACTGAATCCAGACCTGATAAGGCCAAACTCTTCAAAGACAAGTACCTGGAAGAATGGGTGATGTGGTAGCAGAAGCACCACTGGTTGGGACTCGGAATGCCAGCTAGGAAAAGCAATATTGGTGGTGTTCGCGTAGTGGCTAGTAATCCATTCGAGAGGACGTTATTTGTGAACGGGAATGATGGCTACGTGATCGAGATTGCTGATTACATAGCTTGTGAGAGATGTGAGGGGGCCGGGGGTGCTGGACATCTATGCAACCTGCTGGTACTGCCATTTGCAGTCAAGTTCCAATACCCGTTTTTGATTAGACTCGGTAAGGACTATTCGTATAAAGCCTGTAGGACCAACATATTATTCAGGTCGCAACAGTACCACTTTGAGCAAAATCCAGGATTGTGAGTAGGTAGACTGTGCAATTCTGGGAGATGCTTGAGGAGAAGTGCGATGGATGCGGGGTGGAATACAGGATGTCAGTGACCTTGTGATAGGCGGTGCATAAGTTGGGGGTGGAGAAAGGATATTGCAGATGGTGTCCGGTAGAGGTGGATGCAGTACTGGCACATCTGCAATATACCCCTAAGTGTTGGGATACATAGTCGGGGGAGTTTCTTTGTTGGCTCAGGGGAAGAGCTGAGGGTGGGGTTGGATAAATTGATTGCTTGTTTTAGGATATGTGGGGGTGATTTTGATTGATTTTGAAGGAGTAGTTGCGAGGCAGTAAGATGCATTAATCCAGGATTCCACTGGTGGAATGAGCGCCTGTGAGACTGCTGGTTTTATGTTTGGGAGGAGGGTTGCGAGATGGCATTTGGCCATGGTATTTTTTATTTTATTGTTTTGGATTAGGGTGGTGTTGGCTTATTACTGGGACATAATGCCATTGGGTACACATGCCCGTTGGGCAGTTATCCTTTAGGAAGAATAAATGATTTGAATACCTATTTTAATTACTTTTTCCCGAGAAAGCAGGTGGTCTTTTTAATTCGGGGTGATATAAAGTGTGACAAAGAGGAAACGTCTAATTCGCAGAGGGAAATTTGGGCTAGCACGAGTAGAGCACAGCTTGTGCAGGAATCACAAAAAAAAAACAGTCTTTTCTCCCTCTTTCCCCAGCAAAGAAGAGAGGGAGAAAGAGAGAAGCAGCAGAATGAGAAAGAAATGAAGAAGAAAACGGAAAACTGATACCGGTATGATGCCCGCCAAAACAAGAACAGAGGAATAGGATGTCCGTGTTGATGGAATGCCAACAATAGGTGTTTTAATAGCTAAACATCCCACCTGATATTTCGACACCACGTTTATTCAAAGTTATCATTGCAATTCATCTTAGGGAGATGCATTGATTCAAGCAATCATACTTTCAAAATTCAAAATTCCACACGGTTCTATCTGATCGGTTGGTTCGGTTTATGAAATTCACAAAACAAATTCGGTGTAAGCTAATTGTCATCCTAAACGTAAATTATTTAAGACAGAAATGGCGGGGGCTCATTTTGTTGTCTGGAGAAGTCTACCGGTACCTTTTGGGCCAAGGGAACACCGCTCAGGATTTTTTAACTTCTCTGCTGACGGGCATTCTGTCAAACTGGGCATTCTTTCCCCCATTCTGGCGGGCATCTTATCAGCTCTCAGAAAAAGAAAAGGAAAAAAGACCTCCCTGATATCGGCTACTGTGCAATGATAAATCACAAGAAATGAATCACGAGCCTACAGAGGCCGTTTAGGGTAATGAGTTGTGAGGGGTGGGGAAAAAAAAAAGAGGTTATACCGGGAAAGAAGTAACGCGGCAGTGTAAGTGCTCACCCGGCATCGGGGGACACCCATCGCGACAGTTTACCTCAGAAAGTTGCCTAGAGCGAGCCAGACGCATCTTTGACTTTATCATTGGGAAAGGGAAGGGGCACGATGATGAGCGATGGTCTGCGATCTCACCATTTCATCCCAGAAAAGAGACAAGTACTAGTACAAGTACACGGCCCAGGGAAGGCTGAGGAGGGCAGGGAGCGGGCGAAGTAGCTTTGGGGAGGAAGGAATCGGAATAGCGTCATTTACTCACCACTTTTGGAAGCATGAACGTTGGGGGAAGGGAGGGTGATGATGATGATGAGGGAGGCAAGTGCCTGCTCCTGGATCCCCGAACCCTCTCTTTTCTTGTATTGTTATTGTATTGTATCTATTTATTCTCTGCCAGAGGTTGAGAAGCTGGAAAGCATGCAGGAGTATGACACTGTACTCGTACTCGAGTACAAGTAGGTTAAGTTATGTAGGCAGGCAGAGAGCTACCTTCCTCCGCAGGTGCAGCACGGAAGAAATAGAGTCGTAGCACTTCCCGGTACTCGTATCGTGCAAGCACGTCTCTGTGGACATTTCACTCTCAATCTCATTTGGGGGGAAGGGGAGTGAGCAAAGTGGAGGAAGATAGGCGGGGGAGAAACGAGCACTGATTGGTACACTTTGAACTCACTACCCTTGCTCTACCCTGCTCTACTACTCGTACTCCTTCACCCACACGTCGTACATATACATCCGGGCACCCGCACCCTTTTTGAGTTCCCATTTGCATCCTCACACGCATCTTAGTGTGTGGTAAAGTGTTCCTGCTCGATATAGAAGGATTTAGGTCCTGTGCGATACACCCACGATACGCCAGTAGCGAGAGGCAGAGACACCTTTTTACAAAACGGTCTGACGAAAGACAGAAAGAGACTTGCAGCTAAAACGGATACACTCGAGAACGAGAGAGAGAGCCATCTCCACCCTCCTCTACTCGAGTAATTCGAAGCAAAGTTGCCGTCCCACGCTACAATTCTTATTCTCCCGTCGCCGCCGTTCACTGTTATTCCTCCACCTTCTCTCCCCCCCCCCTTCCACCACACGACCATCTAAATAATAGACATATCACCGCTGCCTCTCATTCCCTCCAACCACTGTCAGTCCAACACCACTGCATTCAAGACCCGCAAAAAAAGAAATCACTTCCTCACCGCTGGCTGTTTCTGCAGAAGGAGAAACCCTGGGAGAGAATAGAGGAAAAACGGAAGAAAAGGTCAGAAAGGGAAAAAAAGAGAAAAAGAAAAGAAGTGTTTTTTTTTTTAAATGTTAATAATAAGAGAGACCTACGTGCTTCGCTTTTAAGTCTTCTACTTATTCATCATCTCTTCCATTCATCTGATACCATTCTATTCCATTCTGTCTTTTTTTTTTGTGTTTTCCAACTTTTCAGTGTCCTTCTGGCAAGTGCCTGTTTCTCTGTTTGTGGCGGTTATTGCTCTAGTCTGGCGTTACCGCCTCTCCCCTCTTTATTATACAAGTAGACAACCCCCTCCACCACTAAAACTACAACCACACCACCTGGCCGAGTCTCAGACAACTACCGGTACAGTACGAGAAGCTGGCATCTTCAACATTCTCCGCCGCTGCCGTCATTACTACTACCCCTACTTCTACTGCTCCTTCCGCTACCGTCGCCACCACCACCACCACCACTCGTTCCTTTCACCTTAACTTGACCATGTCGTCAGCGAGGCCTCCTATTAACCGAACCTATTCTTCTCGTTCCCAGGTCGGAGTACTTGAATCACCTACACTCTCATCCGCTTCCTTTACCCCCGACTCCATACGCGGAGACCAAGACCCTATGGACCACCACGCAACTCACGATGCACGTTCACGATGTAGCGGCGATATGGTAGAAAGAGGCAGATCACCGGTGATAGAAAGAGAGGTCTATGGAGAAGACGATGCACGAAGTATGAGCCCCCGACGGAACAGCGAAGAGTTGGAGAAAATAGGCAGGGAAGCGAAGGCTACGTTAGAACAGTGAGTTCCATCTCTTTGTTCGCTTCGATCACCACGGTATCTCTTCGTTTACAGCGGGCTAACGATAGCTTTTTATTCCTCCGCTAGACAAGCCAAAACCCTTCAGTCCGGTCTTTTGGCATTACTAGATCGTGTCGATAAGGTTCGCGAAGAGCACGATAAACTGGAAGGAGAAAACCGCTTTTTGCAAGAGTACGACCCACCTTTGGCTTTCCCCTCATTCTTATTCCGCGTTCTGGCCAACCACTGTCTGGCTTTCCATACTTGGTTCTAGGACCAGCACGGGTCTATCTCCGCACACAGCAGTAACTAACCGGGGGCTTCTCATCACAGGTACATTGGGTCATTAATGGCTACCTCGAAAATAACGGGGGACTCAGGAGCCGGAACGCGAAACCGGAACTCGACCAGCCGATTAAAGTGACCATCCATTCGAACTCACACCGCACCAACAATTTTCTCATTTCTTAAGGTTTCTCTTTTGCACATAAAAGGGGTTTGGGGTGGTGATTGGTGGGATGGGGCCATTTCCTTTCTTCACGGGCGGATTGTATTTTTACAGCTTGGATTGGGAAAAGTCAAGTTCTGTTTGTTTTGTTTTTCTACCATTTTTTTGAGCGAGCATAATCCGTCATAATGTCCTTTTGGACCTC